CGTAGACGTCTTCTCAATTCGTATACAAGATCTCTGCCAACTTAGCCTGTGAACAGGCTCCCGATTGTGTTATGGCCGGGGAATAATAAAAATGTTTAACAAAACGAGCGGCTTGTCGTTGTACACCTTAGATCTGGATGTCATGAATTTCCTGTTAGGTATGCGAATCACATTTCCTGGTATTCGATAATAAATAATATTGTATACCCAAGATCTGGATGTCAAGAATTTCCTTTTGGGTATGTGAATCCCACACAGATGGTCTCTTATTAATGAATAACAAGAGTTTTTCTTAAATGTGTTTCAGGTTCCTTCTGATAAACCCGACAGTAAAAGTAAGTAAATTAAGACTTTATTTAGCCACCGGGTCACCCTTCGTGATAATGCTAGTAACATATAACGAATATTAAACTTAATCGAGTTCCACTCCTAAATATTTATTTTGTTTATGGTGTTCATTTATGGTGCATTTCTCCTCTGCGCGGGACCTCCTCCGATTTTTTACTCTTTGGACTCGTTGAAGAACGCTACCTGATTATTGATTTCATTAGGAACCTATGAAGCTTAATCCCGGTCGTCCACAAAACACTGGAGAAATTTAAAACGCAACAATCACCGGTCGTTTTATATTTTTGTTTGAGGAAATCTCGGCCAGGGAAATCAAGTGGTTCTCCTGATCCTATCGCGTTCGAAAAGGTCCGTTTTAAAATGTTTTCCGTCCATGCACACGAAAACTCAAAGCCGGCGTTTTCAAATTCCTCCGGCGGTTTGAAGAGCGTTTTCGAAAAGCTCCGTTTTCGTGACGGATTACTCTAGACCGTAGGCCTAATAGTAGAAATAAAGCTGTATGTGTTTTTAAATTCCTCTGGCGTAGTGTGGACGGAGTCTGGAGCAAACCACGACGTCAATGAGCATCACCAAACAAAAGGTTTAATGAGCAAAACAAAGGCTGTACAAGTGTGTTCAGTAAACCTTTTACATTTCATAGCCGTCCTCTACAAAACAACAACGCAAAATGACTGCAAACGCGAACGACGAGTCGAACTGCTAAATTTTCGTATTTCCATTTAGAATTGAACGCTGTCATTACATATTTAACCTCAGCGAGGTTTTAGAGCCATAGGCATCCTGGACAAATTCAATTTTACGAGGCGCTGTCCTCGGCGTCGCCGTTGTCATTGTTAAGTTCCCTATATTTGCATCTCGGATGCTGGAAGGTCGATACTCTTGTTTAACGTGGGGTCTGTCATCCTAGGTGGCTGCTTTGTGCTTTGCTCATGTGTTATCCCAAAACCAGTCGAAGGCAGATGAGAGTATCGTGTAAAAACCGTAAAAAACCACATAAATTGCAGTTCTTTGCCAATGTTCTTTTTAATTCAGTGATTAAGTTGTCGAGCGTTTCGGTAGGAAGTTTTTCCCTCCTGCTGAAACAATCTCGTTTACGTTACTTCACCGATGCAATACCTTTTCATCTTCCCCATTACTACACGGCAATCGTTTGCATCTTCTTCTTCAGCATAGCTTAAGGCTTTGAACACTTAGAAACCATCGTCATCAATAATGCCCTTGAACATGGGTAGTTGATACTCGGGGCTTTCCCGCTTCAAGCCAAGTAATTATTTCTCTTTCACAGTCATATTCTCGAGTGTGGAAACGAGCTTTGAAGTCTTGGGAAGAATAGGAGAAGGGAAAAAGTTCTTGTACAAAAACACCATTATTGTGAAGTTAAATTTTGTCCCTTAGTGGTTTCGAAAGATTCAAGGATGTTCGTGGTCTAAGTTATCCTGCACATGCATGGTTTGAAAGTTTTCTGTCGTATTGGTTACCTGATTTTGTCTCTGAGGAGGGTGTTGAAGAGGGGAAGGGAAGGGTTAAAATCTTCATTTCCCAGTCCAAATTTTGCCTAAATTCAATTTCCCAGCTTACTGCTGCCCAAATTCCCTTTTTTTGTGATTTCCAGTCCCAGCGATCTAAAGCCCATTTTCCCGATGAAAAACGAGAAATCCAGTTCCCATTTTATCCTTTCAAGTCCCAGTGTTCTGAGCACTAGCTCTCACGGCAAGGACTCTTGGGAATTCTTGGTGACCTATGCTCGAACCCCCATTAGAGTTCCTATTTTAAATTTACCGAGTTTTGTGTTCTATACTGAACTTTGGGTCTTCCACACTAAGCTAATTCTTCACCTCCACTCAGCAGCAACTGAAGGTGACAAGGGGCCCCTCTCCCCACCCCTGTGCTTTTAACCAACGGTTCCTCCAGTAGCCATGACCATATTTGCCCCACTCTATGCCAATAATGCCAAATGAAGCCATTCCGAAATGACGTAGAAGTCATTAATTGTGACCACCGCTGATCAACAGATAAACAAACGGGTTTTCAGGTAATTGATATGTCTAAAATTTTGCATGTAACAATTCCATTTGTCAGTGTTATCACAATTTTGTATGTTTGCCAATGCTCTTGGAATCGAGTGCAACTCTTTATCTTAGACAAAGAGAGACGTTTTAACTTATTTCTTAATTCTTAATAAGTTTTTTAATTTTAGTCATTTTATTCATTTTACTGTTTGTTTTCATCAATCAATATGTGTGTTGTAAAAGATATAGGTAGCTTGTGGATTGCCGCTATTCAAACATGAAAAAATGCTACAATTATTCTGCTGATTGTTAATCATTTTTTCGTTGACTACGTGAGATTTTCCAAATTGTTGACTTTCATTTTATTTAGGCCGTCGGATAAATTAACTAATCTAAGTGTACAGTCAATACGAGCTAACTGCTTAATGAATTTTCAGTTATTTCTCATTATCCTTCAGTGCAAAAGCGAACCGCGGCAATCATGTAATTGGCTTTGAATCTGACCACCAGAAACAATCTTTACTATTCGCACCAAACCTGATCATCGGTGGACAAGATTAGTTCACAACTGAATGGAGGAGGCAACGTGACCGAGTGGTTAGCGAGTCGGATTCGCATTTCAGCGGTCCCGGGTTCGAGTTCCGCTCTGACCACTACCTGGAAATTGTTTCACGGCAGCCCCGAGTTCAAATCCTCGGCCAAGCTTGTAAATAGCCAACTGTTTTGCCTTCGACCAGTTGGGATTCTTAACAATGTTATGTTCAATTTGAACTACTTGTTCGTTGTTTGTTTGCTTGGCCCTACCGCCCAGAGTAAATAAAGGTGACTATTAATAATATTATGTGAAGTATATATGAAATAATTCATATTTGAACTGCGGTGTAGATGAAAGTGAAGAATGATCATCGCAGTAAATTTTCCAATTTAAGCAATTGGAAAGAAGAAGCCTGAAAAAAACTCAGGGCTTCCCGTTGAAGCCCTGATTTTTTCAGGCTTCTTCTTTCCAATTGCTTAAATTGGAAAATTTACTGAGATGATCATTCTTCACTTTTATTAATAATATTATTGTAAAAGTGAACAGAGCTCAAGGAAAAAAAAAAGTTGCTTTAAGCCCGATTATATCTTGGCATCACAATCGGTAGCATGAATCGACCTTGTATATTATAGCTTATTTTTAAGACTGAGGCGCTGTTAACGGTTTTATAGAGATAAGGGATAACTGGCAAAATAATTTTAGGGATAAGGGATAACTCACTAAATAATTATAGGGATAAGGGATAACTGAGATAGTTTTAGGGATAACAAAAAAATAGCTTTGCTTTCTCAATTGTCACACGTTTGGTCACTTTTGCCGAGGATTTACATTACCGGCGACCGGTAACGAACAGTAACGGGTCATTTATCAGTCCAAATTCCAGAAGTCCAAGATTTGCTCCCAGGCTCTTTTATTCGGTCAGCTGCTGACCAGGGAGCAGAATATTTTAAGGTAACGTCATATAAAACTGTAGAGTTTTTGTATAATTATGCAGTATTAGGTTATCTATTAAGAAACGGGTCGTTTTACACTTTAAAATTGCCACCTATTGGCAGATTTCAAAGATAAGTAGTTTTGGGGATAACAGTCTCGGTAATTTTAGGGGTAAGGAATGGCTAAATTAACCCCTCCCCCCTCTAACAGGGCCTCAAGACTGCACCCATAAAGCAAACGCAAAAAGTGCATTAGACACCATTTTTAGTCACGAGTTGCGTCAGGAGTTGTTTTTTCGATGTTGCCTGAATTTTCGGACGTCTAGAATATCAGGGGAACCAAACAAAATGTCATTTCTAACGATTGCGTAACAACGAACAAGTCGAAAATTAATTATTCTGATTGTATGATGGAGAGGCTCGCGGGGTGTCGTACAAACTATTTGACTATTGGGCGGGAGAAGAAGCGGGAGATATAAGTCATTCTAGGTCATTCTAGGTCGATCAGTCTCCGTGTTCGCCCTGGTTTTTTCACGATTATTATTTTTTGTTTAAACAGCTTGAATAAATGACTGTAAAATGTTTTAGCTTATTTATTCTGTACCCTTTACTAGTTACGGCATACTGCTGCATTAGATGAGGAATAAATTTACACATATTTTCTGGCCACATCTAGTTAAAGGGTGTTTTTTTTCTTAGTTTCCGTTTCTGGAGTAGCACCAGTCAGAAGTGGTAATTTTCGAGGACCCAGATTTTGTTATTGGGGTATACACTGTATTTGCATTAAATCAGTCACCTGGTGATGCATCCTCAATAAACTTTTAACGTTGAATGTCTGGTGTTAGTGAGTTAGATTGACTGCTTGCCCTTTAAAGCCCAGATATTTATTGATATTTTGTTTTTTCGTATAGAAATCACTGATCAGCTTCAGTATCTCAATAAAAGTTTAACTTTAATATTCCCTGTTTATTTTACACGACTGAATTTTGTAAACACAAATAAAACACAAATTAATGCTTACTCAATGCAAATTAAAAAATTAAAAACTAATAGAAGTTAGAAAAACTCATAAAAGTTTAGTAGAAAGTTATAAGGTGAATATACAATATAAATTAACAAGAAATTTTTTTTAGCAAACAACGCGTTTAATAAAATGAGTGTGCCGCTTTTTCTGTTCACTTTGGTAACTCTTCAAGAGAAGTAGAACTCACGGCAGGACAGCTAGACGTGGGGAAGTTTGTAAGTTCTTTTCTTTGCAATGTTAAACGTTTGGTTTACAGTTTTAAGAGGGTAAAAGCTTTCAAAGGATAGCCAAAGGCAGGTTTCTTCATTTTCTTTTGCAAATGATCTTGTCTATCTTTACTGAATTTTCGGTGGTTTAATGGAAATTTAGTCACGGACGTGTCCTTCGGAAAAAAATTGGCTTTTTTTGTCGACTTTGTCCTTCGCTCTGTCTTAATCTTTCTAATCCATGACTATCCTTGTATAATTTTTTCTTCTTGTTTGGTGTTTTTCGACCTTAGAGCCAAACGTAGTAAATGAACCAAACTATCAGGTTTTTCAAGTTGATAGTATTAACTTGATACATTAGGTATATGACTCAAAATAGTGGGTCATATCTCCTTTATCTTCCTTCGGTTCGATAACTCGCCTACGGACTAATTAAAATTATCTTAACGACTCCTTGGCTGTAAAATGATCCTTGTAATATGCCTTCGGGAGAAGGGTACTCCCAGAAGAATTGGGTGGGGGGTGCGGCTCGCGTCCCAAAACTCTTACCCTATTTATGACCAAAGTCTGCAATTTTCTCTACCCTATTTATGATCTGCCAGAGTAGTTTTTTTTCTAAAAAACATACCCAGTTCAAGACTAGAGTGCAAAACCCACACCCTATTTATGACCAAAACGGCTGAAAACCCTAGCCCTTGGGACCGCATATACCTGTATAGCCCATATAAGGGAGTACTTCCCTCCCCAGGAAATATGCCGACATTCTAAATATATTTAAGTAATTGTTGTGACTGTTTTGGTTCTGTAGACCACAAGTTAGACTTTCTTGGTCTGTATTCATGCATCTTGGTGTATCAGCCTTTTTGCCGGGCAAAAACGCACGTGACAACTGATCTTTAAGCCCTGGCCGAACGCACTCGCAAGTGGTCGCAAGTAGCTGCAAGTTGAACTTGTGCACTTAAAGACTTGCATTGGGTGGCTCAAGGGACTGGCAAGTTTCCTCGTTAGTACATGCAAGTCGTAGAAAACCCATTTCAATGCATACAAGCTCATACATAACCTATATTTCATTGGCTAATTGGTTGCTATAACAACGAATGGACGTCACTCAACTTGTGTTGACTTGGGTTGGGTAGCCACACGATGCAAAACTTGCGTCAACTTGCATGTAAATTTGATCTCCACCAAAGTGAGCGCAATTCATCGCAAGTCAACGTAAGTCGACGCAATTGCACACAAGGTGTGGTGAGTCGCAATTAGACTCAAGTTTTAAACTTGCGTCTATTTGCAAGTCCGTTTGGCCTGGGCTTTAAAGAACTATATCGTATTAAGAATTGAATAATTCATGCTTGCCTCTTTATTTTCTCTGCAGATATTACCGGTTAAACATGGGATATCCTTCTGTTTTCAGCATCGTATTGACCAGCATACTATGCTATACGACTGCTTATGACCCGAGCCAATGTGACTACGCTGAAACATACTACAACGTATTCAAAATTGGTCAGCACAATTGCGATTGCCAGGCCAAGAGTACTGGCCAGTTGAAGTTCGATAAAGGGAAAGTTCTGGTTTGTGATGGGAACAGGTGGAATGCACTTCAGTATGAGTACGGGTCGAAAAATAACCCGGGTTTTTCATGCGAGGACATCAGGTCACGCTCAGCAAAACAAGCGGCTAATGGTCTTTACTGGATCACATTGGGTGGTAGGTTCTGTAAAAGTTGATAGTAACCGTAATATCCATAACAAATAATTCAGATTTTACTTGTTTAAACATTTTGTGTTTTGTTTTTTCCTTGCATTGGTTTTTGTTTCGAGGAGTGGGGGAAGGGGGTGGTCACTTCTCCAATTTAGAGTAATCTCACTAGAAACAGTTTTAATATGATCATAAATCAGTGTACGTTCTAACTCATTGGGGGGGGGGGGGGGGGGGCACTGCAATATATGGGCTATATAGGTATGTGCCGCGGTGAAGGGTATGGTTTTCAAGCAGTTTACTCTAGGATAGGGTATATAAATCAGAGCGTTTGGGTCTAGAATAGGGTATCATTTTTCACAAAA